ACTGTAGTTGTATACATTTAAAAAATATTTTTCTTAATTTAAATTTAACTGTCATTAAAACTAAAAGGAGTGAAACATATTTTAAATGATTGGCAACGCTGTCGTATAAAAGCGTTGGCAATGCAAATTTTAGCAGCCCTGCCAACGAGAGAGCGCGACAGTAAACTTGTAACAGAGCATTAGTATTGGTGAATTTATTAGCGCCAAGCGGGGTGAATGCGGCACTCACACACAGAGACTGTACGAAAGAGAGAGCAAAATGCAACGGAAAAAGCGCCAACGCCGCAACGAGTTGTCAGTTCACTTTTGGAGCTCATACCGAGCAGTCGATCGCAAGCGAACTCGAGCGCTAGTCGCACTTTCTCCAAGAGATCGTTACGATTTTTGAAAACATAAAAAAGTGAAGAAAAGAAACACTCGTCAAATCAAAATTTAAATATGTTTTAAGCTCGGCAGCAAATCTACAAAATTATATGTGTTACATTTGTCATCAAAATTCGGTATAGCTCCCCCACATTCAAAACGCGTTAAATAGTTAACCAAAAAAAAAAAAAAGAAAAAAAAATAGATATCGTGCGGTGCTGTGTTATGCGGAGTCCATTTTTTTGTTATAGCCAAAATTTCTAGTTTTATGGTGTGCTTAAGGCCGCTGTTGCTGCTGCCCCATCCCGTTGTGCATATCTCTACATAAGCACCCAAAAATATTTAGGTGAGTCCGCAGCGCTACACACGTACATTTGTACATGTATTTGAATCTGGCTGCCAACTGTGCAACTGTTACAAGATTCCCCGCCGCCCAGCTAATATCACAAATATAATCCAGTATGACTACGAATATACCCCAAAAATTGATTACGCAGTACCATAGCATACAGAGCGACGTTTGCTACTTCTTCTTCTTCGATATTTCGCGTTTAGTTTCATTTTGTGTTGGACGAAGAAAAATGCGTTGGTTGCTTTTATTAATACAACACCAACACATATACACACATGCATACACATGCAGAAGCAGCTAAATGAACAAGTGTAAATGAAGGAGAGCGGGAGAATAAGTCGTATCAGCTTTTAAGCATTTGAGAGAGGGAGCGCGAGCGAGAGCGAAAGAGAGAGTCCGGCATGCGCAGTGGTGGGCAATAGTAAGCATTGTGGGAGCAGTGGAGCCATAGGAGAAGCTGTTGCTATTGCTGTTGTAGTTGTGAATTGCTTTCTGTTTGGTTCTGTGTGCGCGTTAGTATGTGTGTATGTGTGCTATGTGCGCGGCAAAAATCTCTGCCTCGGCCTCGGCGTTTATTTATTTATATTTTTTTTTAATAAAAACTGACAACTAACTGTGAAGCGCCGCTGCCGAACATCGCCATTCATTTTACGTTGACAACAGAGAGTGGCTTTTATTTTGATGTTGTTGTAGTTTGCCATTGTCGCTAGCAGGTGACGTCATTTTACAGTTCTATATTTAAAAAACATTGTTTCGAATGCTTATTGTTAGTGCAGCTTAGTTCTAACTACAAAGCCAATGAATGCAAGTGGATGCCTGAGTGTTGCTCGCCCCTTTTTAATGTTTACATGCCGCGACCACCGATAAGCGCTACATCTCTGTGTGTGTGAGTAAATATGTACACACATATGTATATGTGTGTGATTGTTTTTTCTTTTTACTGATATGATTTGTTGTCGTCACGTGGAGTGCATATACAGCTACATTTGTATGCAAGCAAGTATATAGACATGTATGTGTATATGTATTTATACTTTTTCATGTGTTTGTTTTGGCGCGTTGGAATTTCAGAGCGAGGCGTACGCTCTATTGTAAACTTTGTATTGGAAGCACTAATTTCCGTTAGAAGTTTTTCATTTACCAACACTGCGCAATTTGTTTGATGAGATCCATGTTTGTATGGATGTATGGGAGTATATACATACGTATGCATTTGTAGGCATATACAACTATGTTAATTTTAATTTTGAAAGGAATTTGACATAAAAAACAACCTGTAAATTCGATGACTCAAAATGAATAATATTTAAAAAATATAAAAAAGAACATACATATATCTAGTTATATTGATGGTGATATTATATCATTTTGTATTGCAATATGAAATACTGTTACAATAAGTTTATAAGGGATTTAAATCACTAAAACAAATATATTTTTGTGTATATAAAATATCAGAAGCTTATAACTATAGAGATATCCTACAATTCTAATCTCTTAAAATACCTTGTAAGACTATCAATAATTCTGGCAATACTTCAAATAATATTTCTGACTTAGCTGGGCTATATTGTACGCACATAGTTAGTTCATCAAGTTCCTGTATTCCTCTTCAGGCCATGGCACCGCTTTGAAGCTATACGGTACTATTTTTATTTTCATATCCGAACTACATAAATTGTCTGTTTCTGTCTTATATAGAGGCAAATATACATACATATGCGCTGACCCACCTGTGCTCGTAGTTTCTCACTTTAATTGCAATCTATCTTTAGCTCGAGCATTTGCCCCAACTCCTGCCCAGTCTGACTGCCTGCCTGACGTGGCATGCATTGAGGTTTCTGTTTTCTTGACTTTTAAACTTTAAATCCGGAAAAGGAAATGTAGGTCCCTTCACTATGAACGAAAACAAAAAAAATTCCCTAACGGCACGCCAACTGCTCTTTGGAGTAACTAAGCAAAAGGTTACAAATTTGCATAAAATCGAATGTTATTAAAGTGTTGGTCTTGTTGTATGAGTGTGTATGTGTGTGCTGCGTGCTTATGTATGTATGTGGTCATGACGAAACACATTCCCCGACATGGCAGGCCAACATCATAAACTTTGCTGCCCCACAATACCCGACCATTAGCCTTGCTTGAGGACTAAAAAAGGAGAACGTTTTAGTAGTACCCAACTATTGTGTCAAGAGTTTATGCCCCGAACTCATGTTTCATATGTTTATTGAAAATTGTTTTGTTTTTCTGTCAGTAAAAGTTTTTTCATTCCGTCTTTATTGCTTTCCAATCGATATTTATAAGGGCTTGTCGTACATCTTCGATATGCTGCAATGTTAAATCAAATTTATATTTTGAATACCCTACTTTGTTTTTGTAAAGAGTGAAGAGAGTATTGTAATTATTATATGTCACATATAAAATATTTCTAATCATTACTATGGGTATAAAGAAATCTTAAAATATTCTATATTACTCTAAATTGAAAATCGAACCGCTAGATTCTTTTAACAGATATAGACTATTGTAAATTTCATAGCATTTTTGGAAGCCATTTTTGAAAGAAAAGTTTAATGCTGATAAACGATTGTGTATATAACACGTAAAATATATGATAGAAATATGCATTCAAATAAGCTAGATGTTCTTTCGTGTTTCGCCTATGATCGTGGGCGCGATTGAAAGTGATTCAGGAAATCCAAATTAGAGTACAATTGGCTGGCAAAAGTTGTCTTCGCCAAATAAGCAGCTCTTAACTGCTGTTAATAAGGTACACTATTCATTAAATAATAATTCAATGTCATAGACGATATACATATGTATATATATTGTTTAGTTGCCATACTATTTATTTAAAATTTAAATTTCGCATATGTTTTATATACATATTGTAAATTTGGTTTCTTTTGATACTTTTAGCATTATAACAATTGAATATCGTATGCATATATCGTAAATTTAGTTTTCTTGGCAAGCGTATTTAATAGTCGTTGCTCTGTTATATATTTATTTTTATTAGGATGCGGATGTCGACAAATTTGTGTGTCTTACGTGCCTTTTATGCATATCAATAAACTCATATCCAACACACAGCACACACACACACATGTCTCAATGGAAAACTGGGGCAAATAAGGAAAATGCGGCATCGTCGCAGACATTGTCCTCTTGGCTGCTAAGCAGGCCAATTCGTATAAAACGAATAAAACACATGCCTTCTTTTTCCTCCAGTATTTCAATATAGGTTACGACCATCAATATATACAGATGTAGATATAGATATATTTTAGCAGAAAACAGCATATACTTTGTTCAATTAAGGCAAAGTTTGCAGGGTGGGCGATTTTATTGGCTTGAGATAAATAGCAAAAAAATAAAAATAATAAAAGTTGCTGGGAATAAGCGGAAGTATTGTGGTGAGAATACAAGGCGTGGGCTTGGGTCTAAAAAAGGCGCTCTATAATTGAATCTTGTTTGCTGAATGAGATAGCTGAGGATGTATAGTATATAGCATAGAGTTTAAACAGAACTTAACCAATTGGTTTTTCTTTGTCTTTACAGTTTACTCAAAATCCACATCCAAAATGCTGGAAGACGACAATTCAGATTTGTTGGTTTGTGCCACAGAGTTTAAAGAAGGTATTTAAAATTACAAATTTGGATGTGGAGATATTTATTTGACCTATGTCTAATTCGCTTTCTTTGTACATTTTAGATCGCCTATTCTTTGTGGTATTTAAGAAGAATATCAAGCCAAAGAATACGGCCAGCACACATTACTTTAGCATAGACGATGAGTTTGTCTATGAGAATTTTTACAATGATTTCGGGCCACTTAATATATGCATACTGTATCGGTACTGCATGAAGCTCAACAGCAAACTGAGTGCCAAGAGTCACGCGAACAAGAAAATCGTGCACTACACCTCCATGAATCCGGCTAAGCGTCTCAATGCGGCCTACCTGATTGGTTCGTATGCAGTAAGTTTAACCTTTCCAATTTGGGTTGATGATATTTCTAGTATAAATATATCACTTTGGTTGAACGCCTCTCAAGGCGCAAATTGAAATCTTGTTTAGAGAACATGCGCTGGTCTTTACGGTATCATTATAATAGTAACTTGTCCAAACTAAACAACTTGTGAAATAGTTTAAAGTGTTTGAATATACAATATATGTATACTTATAGTAGTATAATATATACTAAAATAGTATGTGATACGCCATCATCAATAGAGACCTTATTCAGTATATGCTAGGGAACCGTATTTATATGTAGAATTATAGTATATGTTTATAGAGTAATTAAGCATATAAATTAATGTTTAAAATTATTATTTTCAGATAATTTACCTGAATAAATCGCCCGATGTGGCGTACAGATTGCTAGCGGGCCCCGAGGTGCCGGCATATACTCGCTTCTGTGATGCGAGCTACGGACCCAGCAACTTTAAGATCTCGCTGCTCGACTGTCTCAATGCCATACACAAGAGCCTGCAGGCGGGCTTCCTTAACTTCAACGACTTTGACGCGGAAGAGTATGAGTACTTTGAGCGAGTGGAGAACGGGGATTTCAATTGGATAGTGCCGCAAAAGTTTATCGCCTTCTGTGGACCACACCAGAAATCGAAAACTCTGCCCAATGGCTATCCGTGCCATGCGCCAGAGCGTTATTTCACCTACTTCAGGGACAACAATGTGACGACAGTTATTCGGCTAAACGCCAAAGTCTATCATGCCTCATCGTTCGAGAATGCTGGCTTCGAGCATAGGGACTTGTTCTTTATCGATGGCAGCACGCCCAGCGATACGATACTCAAGAAATTCTTGTCCATCTGCGAGACGACAAAGGGCGCCATTGCGGTGCACTGCAAGGCGGGCCTGGGACGCACCGGCAGCCTAATCGGAGCCTACATTATGAAGCATTACGGCTTCACGGCGCTAGAGGCGATTGCCTGGCTGCGCCTCTGTCGCCCCGGCTCCGTCATAGGTCATCAGCAGCAATGGATGGAGGAGTAAGGATTAAAGAGCTCGAAAATTGAATAAATTTGTTACTAATTTTTCTTTTCTTGCAGCAAGCAGAGCTGGCTGTGGTCAGAGGGCGAACGGATGCGTCGGCGCATGGCTTTGCCGATTTTACAGCACAAGTATGGCATCTACAGTATTGAGCTGAAGGAGAAGCTGGCCAAGAACGAGTTGGAGGAGCAGAAGGCGGTGCCGTTGGCAACATCGGATCCCTTTGAGCATGTCGACTTGTTGCTGACGCGGGTGAAGCGCATCTCGCAGCGTGTGGACACAATGCATTTGCATGATCAAGACACCTTGGATGGGGGATGCGATCAAACGGATGAGGAGCTATCCGAACAGCAGCTGGAACTGCAAGAGCTGCACTATCATTCCACGGACGAAGCCAATTGCAATGCCAGCGATAATGATACGGACACGGCTAGTGCGCCCGCTGAACAGACACTCGGCTCTAGCTATACGATGTCGACACGCCGTCGCAAATCGCCGTCGAATGCCAACAAGCCCACGGTAATCGCCACTTCGCTGCGTCGCCTGGTCAATCCTGGGAGCATGCGCAACACAAGCAGTGGTAATAGCAGCGCCATTGCCAGCAGTCTGGAGCCGGCTGGTAGCTGCACAGAGAAGAAGCTGCGCAAGCCAAGCAGCAATGTCTTTGAAGCAGCGCGCCATACAATTGCATCGTCCGTGCGCATGTCCCAGACGGCGCTCGAGAAGAAGCAGATGCAAACGCAGGGCGACAAACTGAATCAGATCAAGGCGTTGCGACGGCATCATTCGCGGGCTGTGAACAGCAACAACAGGTGGGTATTCGCTATACACATATACACAGAGAGGTCTGCATGAGTGAAGACACACCAATCAAAGATTATATTCGAAGATTATATGACTTGGCCATGCAGACCTCTATGCACAGAAATACATGTACATTGTGAAGACACTTTATACTCAATACACAATATACTCTGTAATTTAACTGCAGTGACTCGGATCCAATCCAACGGCATACACGCGCACGTTCTCAGCCATTTCGCAACAACAACAATGTGGTGAATGTGTCAACGTCAGCGCCTTTGGCTCTTAAAACCGTTAGTTGTTTACCGCCGACAACAGCGGCCACTGCAACAGTAACAACAGCAACAGCGTCTTCAACAGCAACAACAACAGCATCATCACATAACCTTAACAACAACAACAACAACAACAACAACAACAGCAACTTTAATATAAACAACTCACTGCATAATTGTAACAATAATAGCACTAATAACAACAACATCAACAACAACAATATGCAAACCAGTACGGCCAGCCGCACACGCAGTCTGGCCATCTATAGCAAAAGGTAAGTGCCCAGCGATCGTACCCACCAATAGAAAACCGTCCCTCCCGACGCAAACACACACACACACACAGATACACTAAACAGCGCTACACAATGCATACACACACACACACACACACACACACACACACACACACACACACACACACACACACA